TGGGCGCACACCGACACACCGCTTCTCCGGCCATGCTGAGGCTGCGTCCCACATACAGCAACTAGAAGGATGTGCAACTATGACATACAACTATCTCCTGGAGCTTTGAGGGAAAAATAAATAAATAAATAAAAATTATAAAAAAAAAAAATCACAGAAAACATCAACAGGCTGATCAACATATTATGGGCCACCAGACTGCCCTCCTTTTGTTTTCCTTCTTTTTAATTATTGTTATGCTCAAGAATGACATTTGTTCACTGGTATTAAACCTGGCAGAGGTTCTTTGTGAGGTGGATTCAAGAGGAAAAGCTTCAGAACTATACAATATGTGTAACCATAACCAGATCTAATTTTCCCCTTTAACAAGAACTTGGTGGGACAGATGGACCATATAGTATCAGGGCATTTTCAAATTCAAGTATTAACAGAGGTTTGGGGATCAATCATGTCAGCTCCTTTTTTTAATGTTTGAGACAGAGGTCAAGTTTATGCTTTTATATTCAGCCTCTTTGTTCTTTCTTACTCTTAGCTGATTATGCGCTCTGTTCTACACCTGTAACCTATGGCTGACCAGAACCATCTGGTAGCACATTCCTGCTCCTCTGCCTTTAATAATCTTAGTCATAACAGGAACAAGTACCTAGGAAGCACTCACCCAAGTACTTGGTGCTTAACTCTTTATTTTTGCATTATTTCATATCTCTCCACAACCCCACAGGTAGGTACTCATTATACCCATTTTACCTGAGAGGACATTACTTACCTAAAGGTCACACAGTTAAGTATGTGGCGGGGTGGGCATATGATCCCAAACAATCTCATTCCAACACTCTCTTCTCACAAGGCTAAACTGCCTTTTAAAGACAGGAACTGAAGAGATGAAAGGGGGATCCTTCCATGTCATTTAAAACTAAACAAATAAAATTTTATTTGGCAAGTGTCTGGAGCAGAAAAAACTGTGGACTTCAAAAAAGCAACCAAAGAGGGCCCTTCTTCACAGGCACCAAACTAAATGCAGGTGAACCTCTTATCAGCGCCACCTGACAAGGAACGGCTTATCTCTTTTCCCCTGACAGTCTGCTAGCTGGTTTCACTTTCCCCCTAAGCGCTGATTCAGAGCTTCTAACGTTACCCTGTTGAGGTGCCAAACTGACAGGTTGGAAAAGAGTTGCTCTGATCAGTCTTCCATTCCCTCAGCAAAGATAACAAGGAGTTTGTCAAACATGGCCCAGACCCAGCGGCAAGAGAGCAATCCTACCCAACCTTCAATTATTCTGAAATGGAATCGCCTTCTTGCCTGACAACTGTGACTAATTCCAAAAGCCCAACCAGCCTTCTCATAATAATGACTTTGGGGTCAATTACCATTGGGGGGCAGATTAGAATCTGATCCAAAGCTGAAAAGTTCCAACCCTTGGTGCTAATCCTCTGAACTTTCCAATCCTAAATAAGGCAAGTTTCAGAAAAGAGCATTTTTCATTTTATAGACTACCTGAATATTATCTGTAATAGTTTTGCTTAATCGAAAAAGTAATTAAACTCCTGCTCCTAACTCTAAACATAAGTCAGAGGAAGGAAGGAGTTCTGGCCAGCTGCCAAGGCTCCATCTGAGGCTCCCGGAGTCAATAATTTCCATGGCGTTTTAAGTATTTGAAACAATAAAGGCCAGCTTTCGCTAATAGCGCGACTGATTCTGGCAAACCTATAAAAACAAGGTCTGCTCTGGGGCAGTTTATATTACAGAGAATTAAGTTTTAGTAAATGAAATGAAACTAATAGTTGAGAAACAGATTACCTGCGGCTGTTAAATGATTTTAGGTGAGATGGGGTGGAGAGGGAGGAGAGGAGTCTCATAAGGCATTCCTAGGTAAGATGATGTCCTTGGGCAAGCCACTGCCCTGTCTCACACTTGGATATTTCTAACTGGTACATGACTTACTTGATCAGTCATTTTTCAGATAGAAATACATGAGATTTTGTGCGCCATGAAAATGAATCAATTTTCATAATCTAGGTTGAAAAGTGGCACCCCACAGGCCGAATCTGGCTGCAGAAGCAATTTATTAGGTCTTCATAGTGTTTGCTTTTTTTTAATCTGAATTGGTTGCCAACATGAAAAACTCAGAAGACTTCACATGAAAATGCAGATATCCAGCTACTCTCAGATACTGGCCGACTGAGCAACTCTGGGCTCACATTCCTGCGTGGCTGCCCCTTGAGAATGGGCATCACTCACACTCAGCCTGCATCTTGCCTGGCCCCTGTTCCCACGAGAGCTAGGCTCTGTACCTCCTGTTTTCCTCCTCAGAGCCAGCCTGCAGGTAACTCCCTTATGAGAAAATATTGCCAATGGTAAGGTTAGTATTTGTTGGAAGGAAAGAGGGAGGAAGAAATGCATGCAAAACATCATTTTCTAAAGAAAAAATAAATCCCATATTAGTCTCTTGTATGAACTTCCCGAAGGCTTGGAACAGAAAACACCATATTTCCATCTTTTTTTCCAAATACTCCTTTCACTACATCAACTATGGATTTTACTGCATGCAACAATTCTATGTGTAGCTTGAAAACATGACCTGTTTTGAAAAGGTGATTAGCAAAGGACTAGAATTCTAAGCTTCTCATGGATGAAAGGCCCATTGCCTTATTTTATGTCAACAACAGAATTCTCAGTAAAGAAGTTTACGGAAAATAGAATTTACCAATACACTAGTTTGGAGCCTTGACTGCACCACACCCCAGCCCAAATCAACACTTATTAAAATAAACAGCATCTTCCATTTCTTTTTTTCCTGAAGGGTCATATGGACAACAGAGATGCTTGGTCAAAAAAAAAAGGGTGGTGGTGGGGTGGAGGGGAGTGTCTAAATTAATGCAAATCCCTATTCCATTTTAAGCTGTAGGCTGACCCAAGCAAAGTTTGTGGCATCTATGTAATTTGATATTTTCCAAGAAGGAAATGTCACTCTTGACCACCACCACCATCATTCCCCATCCCCTACTCCCTTCTAATCATGTTCACAAGACTTTAAGAAAGAAGATATGACTTGCTTCCAGCTCAGCCCATCACGTACACCCCTGAAAATAAACCAAGATTGTCCAGGATTCAAGACCAAAGCAGATTTGAGAACAAACTTCAAATTCCCTCCATGCTTCAGTGGGGCAAGAAATAAGAGTTAGAAGCATAGACCCAAATATAAGAGCTCCTGAAAAAAAAACCCCAAAACAGATTTTCAATAGTGGTATTGGCACATCAACCAAATATCTGTTTTGCTACACTAAGTATTTCTTTAATGCAGAAATACCTCATAAGTGAATAGTAAACAGAGAATGGAGGACAGGAGTCATGTTGGGGCATATACAATTTGAAACATGTTTCAAAACAATCAGGGGTGAACTTTCTGGCAATTTAAGAGAAAATCTTAGCAATAAATGAAAACCTTCAGAAAAAAGAAACTAAAAATTCTATCGATGTGCAAGTAGTGGTTTATTAAGTGGCTTCAAGAATTGCTACACATTCTACTAGGTTAATTAAAAAGCTGAGAGTTCAGATAACGATGCTACAAAGATATACCTCCAGCCCTCTTAAAAACGTTTGATGAAGAAATCTACACTCCTGTCAGATCTTTACTTTTGATGGAAGTGGTCTCTTTGAAAAGCAAATGCCGTTAAGGACTTACATCTTGGAGAAGCAAGAAGGAACCCCAGGGCTTCCGGCTGCACAGGACTGACTGGCTGTGATGTTAGCTGCACATGCCACTGGAGATTTCATTAGCTACTAGTTCTGTTACGATAGTTATTATTTTTGTTAGTGCTCTGGTTACAAAGTTCCTCAAGTTTTGAGTGGTCTGCCCCAGCCTTATTTTTCCCTTATGTCCCCTATTTTTTACGTGCAATTTTGCAGGTGAGGTTTCTCAGGAATGCATACATGGCATTAAAGCTGAAATTATACTGCCATCTTGTTGGTCTGCTCATATGTCAACATGCAATATTATACATTATAGTGGCGAGCTGTCTGTAGTTTGGTGCACTCTTTAGTTGGTAGCCTGGAACTGTGGTTCTTAAACGAAAGGCTTGTTAGGATTTCCTTTTAAATGCTTTCCAAAAGTATGCTGCTGATAAAAATGCAAACTAAAGACTAAGCCAAAACGCCCCCAAAAATATTTACGCTATAAAACATTAATTAACAAGAAGAATTCCAAATATACACACTAAAAATATAACCATGTAAAAAAATATAAGCAGGTGGGAGGTAACAGTAAAAACAAAAACTGTACTTGAGTAGTGGTGACGTTAAGAATAAAATACCTTTTTCCTACGTTAGCTTTTTCAATTAAGTGAACGCTTTTTTGGTTTGTTTTGCCTGGAATTAATCATCAATTGGTGAAAGTTTGTAGAGAAACATTTTATATCCACAAGGTAACAGATTAACAAATGCGGCTAAACACCCCAGCAACATGACTGTTCCTGTTTTTCAAGACAGATGTTTTAACGTTAGCAGGCTTCGCACAAAAATAGCAATCAAGCGTTGCTCCAACACTTATGAATGTTGTTTCACTTACTTTTTGAACAACCAACATAAACACAACCCATTTATTTCAAATTACCTGCTAGAAATGTCTTAGGGGTCTTCAAGGACAGAAAAATCGAGATGGAATTCTGATGACATGGACCTCAGGTTGAAAGCCATCACTCTAAACATGGTTTCCTGTCATGTGAAGCAGCTGCCGGGTTTTACAGGACCACCAACCAAGGCAACGTTCTTGACTTCGCCTCATCTACGAGGCACAAAGAAGCAAGGTCGTAATCAGGTTCCCAGCAGAAGAGCCTTGCTTTTTGGACTAAAAATTCCCACAAACGGCTCATAAATCAAAATTATCAAGTAGCTAATGGACATGAAAGTTTCTAGCAAACAAAATGCATACACATCACAAAGTCATTTCTTTAAAAGAAAACACAATGGAGGGAAACAGAAAAGAAACCCAGGAGAGCAAAGCCTGATTTAGCAGATACCAGTTTATTCTCTATTGTGCATGATTCAAAGCATCTGATATTCCACAGCCAACAAGATTTCCTACTTCTCTATTACAAAATACTGAGTACCTTGAATATGGTTAATTCAAAGTTCTCATTCCTTTTCTCCTACATCTAGAATTAAACAGGTTTCTCCGTTTAGCATACATTTCACATTCACCGAAGGCTTTGGGGAGAGGGGGAAATAGGGCTTATAATTGCCCCCCTGAACCAAAGGCACTTAATGTTAAAAGATAAAGCACAGTAGAATCACCCCACAGACATTCCTGCGTGTTCAGACTGCTGAACTTGAGCGTACCATCACTGGCCCACGTGGGATTCATCATAACAATGTAAAAGACACTGATTTCCTTGAAAAAACAAAGTGCAGTGTGAATATAAAGACTCATCACCACCACCCCACCATCCTTTTCTGAAAAGAATACGTAAGAGAACTCTTATTTTACATTAGTATCACCCAAGGTTCACATGTGGAAAAAAAATAGCTAAAAAATAATCTGTCATAAATTCTCACTATGAAATCATGATAGACTCTGGTATACTCATAGAATTTGTGAGTTGGAGTGAGCCTCGGAGAGCATGCCGTGCATCCCCTCACTCGACAGATGAGGTCACTGAGGCCCAGGAAGGTCAAGTGTGGGACTCCGGGGTCTGACCCCAGTGGCAGGCCCCAGGTAGGACGTAGGCCTCCTGAAGCCTAGCTCAGGGTGCCCTCCACGCCCCTTCCTCTTTAAAAGACTCGCAGAGTAAAACATGGTGATGATCTCCAAAGATGCACCACACAATAAAGCACATGTGCTGACGGAGGTCAGCGATTTGGTCTCGCAAGGCGGTTCCTCTGGCCATTGGGCAGGTAGGTAACCCACTTCATGGTGGGAATTCTTCACACAAGGTTGGTTAACCTTCTGAGGGAAGCCGGGCAGGGTAGACACGACTTCTTGGATTCACGAAGCCTGTTCTTGGTTCTTAGCTCCTGGTGGGCAGACGATCAGCTGCACAGCGGAACCCCAGATTCGAGGCGGAGCTGTCAGGTGTGTTCTGGCTTCGAGCAGCACAGCGATACCTATAGCAGTAGGACTGTGCAGAGAGAAAAAGAAAGGTGAGTGCTCTCAGACTCTCAGCTGAAGGCTCTAAACTGTCAGAAGCATGTTGTACCCATGTGCCAGCTGTAGAGAAGTTATGCCTACCTGTAGACAGAGCTTCCCCCCCAAACAAACACCCCCTTCATGCATACTTAGCATGTATGTTTTGAAAAGGGCAGCACATTCAGACTTCACCACATACTATCCAGTGTTTTACCTTATAAACATGACACAGATATAGTATAAAGATGTTGGTGTCAGCATTACTTATAACAGTAAAAAAAAAGTAACAACCAATAGTTACATAAGTTACAGCACATCCATATGACAGACTAGTAAAAATCCACTAAAAATCATAAAACTATTAAAAATCACATTTTTATGTAATATTTAATGACATAGGAAATTCTCATGATAAAATGTTAAATGAAAAAGTCTAAATACAAAGCCGTGTATGTGGTATGATCTCAATCTAGATAATTAGGAATGCCAAGGGAAAAAAGACAAGAAGATTCAGAATGCACCATAATATGAACAGTAGTTATCCTCAAGCAATGGGGTTTCAAATTCCTCCAATAAGTATATTTAACTTTTATAATTTGAAAAGTTATTTTTACATTTAGCACAGTATTTGACAATAAACCAAGTAATAAAGGTAAATGGCAATCAAGAAAATGTTAACTAAGAACAACATTAAGATATTATCTAATATCTAGCAGACTGGCAAAAATTAATCAGCAAGCCTAGGAACATCAAAAGTAGGAAAGGCTGTGGAAAACATTTTTTAATACATTGCTTTTGGAATTTAAATCATAATAACTCATAAAGCTATACATTTGTGTGTGTGGGATTTGTTTTGTACCTGTTTTGTTTTATAGGAGGAAAGTAAAACCATGTACATGTGCATCAACACAGACACGGAGCACCCAGTATACCCCAGGCACGTGCTAGGCACCTTCACTTGTTATTTCATTTGATCATAACAGCCCAGAAAAATTAAATGACTTACCCAAGATGACACAGTTGTTAAAGGAAGCAGAATTTTAACCCAGGTCTAACTAGCGCGCATGCCTCCCTAGCAAGATTCTATGCTCCTAGATGGAAAAACATCACATCTCATGCTTCATTCCCACCCCCATACATTCATCCTGCATGCACACCCATACTCGCACAAATTAAGAAAGCCTAACACATATCCCCGGCCACCTACTACGCATTCAGTGAATAACCACAGATTACTTAATTCAAATACTTCAAAAGCTTCCATATTCCAAAAGTAACCATGTATGGAACTCTTATGTCCTAGGATTGTTCTTTGATCCAAAATAATAGAGAATGAAAATAAACTAGTTATCCTGTGTACCATGAGCATTAACTCTGAGTTGGCCCAGTGAAACTAAAGTCCTTGCCAGCTGGTTAAAGAAACTGCATATAGAATTATGTAAAATAACTTTGGAACTCATAAAAAGAGATAATTTGTTAGGCGGCAGGGAATAGGTCAGCATGAAAGAGGGTTCTTTTTCCTTAATTCTTTTTATTCTCCTTTCTCTCACAAAAGTCGAATGTTTCTAATCTTCATAAATATTATCTCTAAAGTTGACACAAATTCTCTGGAGCACTTCCACTATAAAAAGAAAGACATGGTTCTCTGTCTTCTATAGATAATGAAACAATAGCAACCAATTTTCTCATTTTCCCCATGGCCAGTGAGGAATACAACGTATTACCAATACTCAGGCAGGCAGAGGGAAGATGAATAAGAAAGATGCCTGAAATAATAATTTTAAAAATCAGTCACATCTGCTACTCCCTGTGGTCAGCATGCAATGGAAGTTCTAAAATGACCAGAGGGAACCATGCAGGAAGACACAGCAGGAGCTCTGTTCCACATAGGGCCAACTCACCAGACTGCTGTGAAGCAACAGTGCTTTGGTTATTTCCAAAATCCAGCCCCTATGGATAATCCAGGGCCCCATGCTACCCAGTGTGTATAGTGAATTCTACATTAGAGCAAGAATTCAGTTTAGGGGGAGGCAGGCAGTCAGACATGGACATTCTTGTCCGTAATTGTCCTACAACTGACAAAGGCAATCAAGCGTTTCCTGATTCCTACTGCGTAGACCCCTAGAGGAAACCCAAGTCCAGGCACGGTCTTGTCCTGCTGGAGATCAGAGGCTAGTTGAGGAAACAATGATTACACATCCAACAGCTACAAAACACGCTAGGGTTAAAACATTCTGAGGTTATTACAAATTCAGATAAAGAAATTGTCCTTTGTGGAATGCCAAAGTCTTGAGGAAAGACTTTTGGAAGGCAGAACTTGGCTGGAGTGGGATTTACATGATTATGGCAGTGGTTCTCTGACTTGAATGCACATAAGAATAGCCTGGAGAGCTTGCTTAATACATATTTCTAGGCCACACCTAGAGATTCTGATTCAGGAAGTCTGGCATGGGGTCCAAGAATATGCATTTCAAACAAGCTTCCCGGTGCTGCTGATGCTATGGACCCATGGGCCACACTTTGAAAAGCAATGATTTATAGGATTTTAAAAAAAGGAAAGAAGGCATGTTAAGTTGAGAAAGCAGTGACATCAGAGACATGAAAGTGGAAAAATTCAGGCAATTAAGAGGACAGCAAGACCACAGCATGATCGTGTCAGAGCATGGTTTATTTATTCATTAAATAGTTGAGAGCTTACAGCACGTTAGATGCCATTCTAGGCAAGAGGGATACAAGACAGACAAGGTACCTGTTATCAGGGAGCTTACATTCAACAGGGAGGAGTCAGACAATAAATAAACTGATAAATTCAAGATTGTTTCTAGTAATGGTCAGCTTGGAAGAAAATAAAATAGGGACTGAGGACTGAGCGTGACTAGGTGACCACTTTAGACAGGGTGGCCTGGGAAGGCCTCTCGGGAGGCGATATGTGAGTTGAGTTGCCCAAAGATTTGGAGAATGAGAATTCCAGGCAAAAGAATGACTGGTACAAAGATGGTTAATGATAAGAAGCAGGAAAGGTGGGTGGATAAATAGGATGAAGTCACATTACCGGCTGTTTTAGCAGAAAGAGGAGTTTGGCCTTGATACAAATGGAAATCGCGACAAACAAACATTTTGCTAATTTGCCCACCAGAAAGGGCAAAATCCAAGACTCATTAGCTATTTAACCTCAGGCAAAGCCTTTGCTGAATCTGTTGCCTCATGGATAAAATGGGGCTATTAATGGAATAATGTTAAAATGCTTCACCTTACCTTTACATAAAAAAGTAAAGCACTAGACACGTGGAAGGCATTATAACTGTTAATTTATAATGAACATAACACTCTTAATTACAGAAACTAACTTTGCCTGTCTTATCTGACCTCTTTGGGTTAACTTGCTTCCTCACTAAAACAAAAGCATTAACCAGCTTCTCCACAGGTCTTAGAGATATACATTTGCTACATAAATGGGAAAGTTATTTGCTATACAAATGGGAAAGTTGAGGGATATCTCTGGAGATAAGGCGTAGGACTGAGGTCTTTGTTGAATGGCATATTTCTATAGGCAACTTACCTTTCAAATTATATAATAAACTATTTTAAAATAAGATGTTGTTCATACGCCACAAAACACAGGCTGTAACAACTCTGAGGAACTGTGCCTGCCCAGAGCACTGTGTTCAGAAGGATTCTGAGGCTGTGACAAGATAGTAGAAAAGAAATCCATGATGCACAAGAGATTTTTACCATGGCCACATCTGAAGACCTTGATACATACAAAATAATTCCATTTGGGGAAGAAAAAAATAAAAGTGCACCAAAAAGTCTGGTAGAATACTATCAATAGTTTTCTTTAGGAAGCAGGATGAATGATTTTTATTTTCATTTTTATATTTATTATTTATTTTCTAATTTTTATGCAATGAAAATGTTTTGTTTGTATAACAAAAAAGCTTAAAATCAGTGGCAACAAAAAAGCCAGTCCTTTATTAGATCATAGCAGTCCCTAAAACCTTTCATTAACCTAAATGACTATGAAGAACCAAACCCTAAAAAGCAAGTCTCACTACAAGTTAGTGTTGAGAGATCAGGACCATCATATGAGAAAACAGTCAATTCACATCATCATTCTGTTTCAAACGCACTCATTCCCTTAGCAAACATTTATTAATAAGTAGTTCATTTTAAATTCCAAAATGGGCAACTAATGGAACACATAATTAAAGAGGTAAATGGCCTGATTATAAATGTCCTCATTACTCTTTCTTTTTTTCCAACTCTACTTTTAGCACCAAAAATGGTTATTAATGATGTTAGGTCTTTGAATGGCTGAAATATGGGTCATTCTATTAATTAAGAACAGAGGTAGTGGGAAGGACCTGTTTTAGCCCTATTTCATCAAAATGGCTAATTAATGTGTGAAACTGATCTCAATATCTGTGCTAAGAAAGTGATCCTGGACTCAAGAACAATCTATTTAAGATAATGACTTACCAGCCTTGGGGCTTTGAAGTCAAGCGGGGCAGCAATATAGTTTCTATGAGAGGAAGGCTTTTAGGGATAAAGGGAAGTTTTAAGGTAAATGTAGTTCATTATAAACAAAACTATTACAGAAAATCACAGAGCAGAACTCAGGTGTCTCAATTTCTCATCTGTTGCTCTTGCCACCGACACTAGCTCAACTCCTTTTGCTAGCAATCCAAGTGTAAAATGGCGTGAGGGTGAGGATTTCCTCAATGTTGTGAGTTGGGCTAAAGACCTCATAGGGATTAATCTAACAATATTCAACAACAACTAATATTTCTTGAGTATTTACTATGTGAACAATTCTAAGAACTTCACATGTATTAATTCACTTAATTCTCCCAATAGTCCTATGAAGTAGGTATTATTAGTATCTGTATTGTATAGACGAGGAAAAATTGAGGCACAGGGATGCTAATAGTGTGCCTAAGGTCACATGGCTTATAAATGGTGCATCCAGGATTACAGCCTTTTCAATCCCATTCCAGAGTCTGTGCTCTTAACCCGATGCCAAGTTGCCTCATAGTTTCTCTTTCTGCGCCATCATCTCCTCATTGAAGCTATACTTTGTATGGACTTTCAAAAAGTTATGAATAATGATCAGAGTTTACTTTAGTCATGCAAATTGGCCCTGGCCCATGATCAAAAGTCCATCTTCTAAGCAAGGTGATTTTTTTCAAAATTAATTATAACATTATTCTTTCTTCCTATTGGTTTTCTTTCTTTTATCGATTTTCATCTATGCCATAAGAATCATTTCCAGGATTCTGCCTATCTAGTTAGGAGTTCATTAGTTGGTCCCTTATTCAAAAGGGAAGAAGAGGGAAAAACAATCTAATTATAATAAAGATGATGGTTAAGGATGATAGTGTTAGCAGCAATTGACTTTTACTGAGTCTTTACCACGAGCCAGACAGTGTACCAAGTGCTTATATATACTGGTTCATTCATTCCTCAGAAGAACCTTAGAGTAGGTACAATTATGATATGCATTTTACAAATGTGAAAACTAAGGCTTAGAAAGATTAAGTAATTTGCCCAAGGTCATAGACTAGCAAAGAGCAGTTACAGAACTCCAACTCAGATCTAATTCCAGAGTCCACATCTTCATAATGTAGTTACAGCTGCCACTCTTGATCTTGTGGAAAAGATAAGCATTCTGAAAGTAATTCACAACCAATGCTGTGCTATTTTCCTGATCTCAGCAAAATAACCAGACTAATGTTAAAGATCTACATCATCTACAATTAACTTGATCAACATCCTGGAGCTGCTGTTTTTCTCTGGAAAATCCTGTGTTTTCTACTCAGTTTTGTCACTCTGCTATTCCCTCTTCTAGAATATTCTCTCTATCACTCTGAGCCTAACTAAATTAAAATTTATCCTTCAGGTAGACTGGGAATAATTCAAGATGCGTAATACAAACTCTGAATCAACCACTAAAATTTTAAAACAAAAAGCTATAGCTAATAAACCAAAGAAGAGAAAATGGAGTGATAAAAAATACTTAATCCAAAAGAAGTCCAAAAAAGAGAGAAAAAGAAACAAAGAATAGATGACACAAAGAGAAAAAAAAAGTATCAAGATAGCAAATTTAAACCCAACCATATCAACAATCACATTACATGGTGTCAACAGCCATTAAAAAGGCAGATATTATACCAGTAAATTCAATAACTCTGATGAAATGGATAAATTCCTTGAAAGACACAAACTCCCAGAGCTTAATCAAGAAGAAATACATAATCTGCACAGCCCTGCAGCTATTAACTAAATTAAATTTATGGTTACAACTCTAGGCACCAAATAGTTTCCCTTGGGGAATTCTATCAAATATTTAAGGAAGAACAAATGCTAATTCTACACAAACTCTTTCATAAAATTCCACGAGGGGATATTTCCCAATTCAATCTATGAAGCCAGCAATACCCTGATATCAAAACCAGACAAGTAAACAACAGATCAATACCCATCATGAATATAGATGCAAAAGTGCTCAACACTTTTAGCAAATCAAATCCAAAATATATAAAAAGGATAATACATCACAACTAAGTGGACATATTTCAGGAATGCAAGGCTTAACATTTGAAAATTGAACATCAGTGAATGTAATTCACCATATTACAGACTGAAAAAGAAAAACCATATAAACATCTCAATAGATGCAGAAAAAGCATCTGGCAAAATCCATATCCATTGCTGATAAAAATTCTCAAAAAGCTAGGAATAGAAGGAAACTTCCTCAAGCTGATAAAGAGTATCTTTGGAAACACTACAGCTAACATCATACTTAATTTTTAAAAGTTGAATGTTCATCCCCTAAGATCAAAAATGAGATGGGGGGCTGGCGCGGTGGCATAGTGGTTAGGTTCACGCACTCTGCTTCAGCAGCGAACCCAGGGTTCACCAATTCGGATCCTGGGTGTGGATGTGTACACCGCTCGTCAAGCCATGCTGGGGTGGTGTCCAACATAGAACAACTAGAAGGATGTACAACTATGACATACAGCTATCTACTGGGGCTTTGGGGAGAAAAAAGGAGGAAGACTGGCAACAGATGTTAGCTCAGGGCCAATCTTCCTCAAAAAAAAAAAAGAGGTAGGAATTTACTCACCACTTCTATTCACCACTATATTGGAGGTTCTAGCCAATGCAATATAGCAAGAAAAAGTAATAAATGGCATCCAGATTAAAAAAAAATAAGTAAAATTGTCTATATTCAAAGATGATATGACCACCCATATAGAAAATCCAATAGAATCTACAAAAACATTACTAGAATAGATGAATTTAACAAGGTTGCAGGATACAAAATAAATATACAAAAACCAACTGTACTATACAAAGGTATTTATTAACAACATCTATTACATTAACAGACATTTTAAAAGAATAAATTGGGAAGCTTATGAAAATACAGATTAAAAATAAGCAAAAAATATGAAATGTTATTAAAGTAGACACATTCATATGCATGGCACTGGGATATTTTAGTGTTCATGCTTAAAATGATTTTCACAACTTTCATTTTCTCCATTTATTCTTAAGGAAAAAATCTTCTGGTCCTCAATTCTTAATTCCCAATTAGGAAAAGTATCATATGTCAGAGACATAACTGGTGGCAATTAGGGTTTCGAGATTCATCTGTTTTTCATAGAAGTCTGGTTCCCCAGCAACAGGATTCAGATATACATGTAATAACAGCTTGAATTAGACAAATAATCTAGAACTAAAAACAGATATGTATATGAACTTCTAAATGTATTGGGGTGACCTGGGGCAATGTTTTTAATTCAAAATTAAAATTAGAATTTTAAAGATAACTTTGTCTACATCTTGTTATAAATGTAGGTGTAAAGCATAAAGTGAACTCAATTCTATGAAGTTCCACCTAAATCAATGGAGTGGATTAAAAATTCTAAGAAATGCAGAAGGCACACACATTACAACCTCACGCATATACATAATCTGAAGAGATTCTCTTTAGGCCAGTGGTTCCCAAAGTTTGCTGTATGTTATCATCACCTTGAGAGCTTTAAAATCCTGATGCCCAGGTCACACTCCAGAAAAATCAAATCAGAATGAGGCAAGTGGGGAAACAGGCATCAGTAGTTTTTATAGCTCCCAGACAATTCTAATGTACAATAATGTTTGAGAACCACTGTTTTAGGGCAAAGTTTGACAATGTCTCCATTATCAAATTAGTAACTTAACTTGGAGCCATTATAGGTCATTTTAGGTCTCTAACTGCCTGGAATGAGTGAATCACCATGCGAGCTTCTTGCAATAACAATCTGCAAAATGCCATCTTCGTATAGTGATAGAAAGACAGAAGCTGAAGTGCTGGAGACACTAAAAATACATGATTTGAAGAAAAAAGGGAGAGAAGTGGTATTCGATTTCCAAATTCCTTATAAAGTTTACTCATGAAACCACTGAGTCACTCTGACTAACCAAAAACAGCCAGTTCTGATACTGAAATCATAGCCCAAAGAGCAGAAACACTCTCTGAGATTGATGCTTATTTCACAAAGCACATACTTTATACCTAGAACACTTGGAATGTTTCTATTAAGGTTATAACTCTCTCCTTAATCTCAACAGAGAACCCAGAAATTTACAGGAGTCTCAAATAAATTAAGAGTGTGCTTCCAGACTTACACACTGGAAAAGTATATAGCCCACCCTTATTCATGAAACATAAAAGGTTTCTCAAAGGGGCAAGATTCAACAGGTGGAATTTGGTTGACAACAGGTCACTCACAACCTCTGCTTCTTGTCCCACTTTTCCCATGCCTGTGCCCAAACTTGAGATGATTATCCTACTTTTTTTCTGTCTTTGATGGGGATAGGTAAGTATTAGCAGAAGTGGATGGGACATTTTTGGGCTATTGTTTATAATAGATCCATAAACCTGCTATTAGAACAAAAAATCAGAGTTTAGTGACATGACTTACCTTATGGCACATGTAGGATCCACCTTTCTTCACCCGGTCTTTGCCAGAAGGGGGGCCTTTCTACGGATAAAGAGAAGAGAACTCATTAGTCCAGAGAACACAGCTGCCCTTCACACAGTGGGAGAGAGTCCAGTTTAATCCAATCAGCTCTCTCATGGTTGCCTAAACCCTCCACATGCATTTCTGCCCCTGGGCCTTGTACCTGCATCCATGCACCCTCCCAAATGCCTACCTCTCCAAATCCTACCCATCCTCTAGGGTCCAGCTCAAGTTCCCACTCTTTGGTGAAATCTTCGTGACTACCATAAGCAATCCCGCCTCTAAGCCCCTAAAACATTTCTTGCCTAGATGACTAATAAGATGCTTGGCAGCATCTCTTACATCACCTTCTCATGCTGATATGCAAATTTATCCTGTGTTATAATTGGCTTGCTCGACTAGACTGGCAAGCCTCTTTGAATTATGTTTTTATAATCCTCCTGTGCAACACCTAAAAAATCCTTTGCTGACTGAATGAATTTGCTTTGTATGTTTTTAAAAAATTTTTATGTCAGGTTTATTGAGGTATAATTTACATACAGTAACCCTTTTAACATTATTAATCCTTTTTAAATGCATACTTCTGATGACTTTTGACAAATGTAGAGTCATGTAACCACTACCACAATCAAGATACAGAACATAGTTTATCTTTTTCAAAAAGATTTATATAGTGCTTACTATGAACCAAGCACGGTTCTAAGTACTTCGCAAATAATTAACTTGTAATCTCTGTAACAACTTGTGAGGCAGGTTAAGCAAGTGGCAGAATGAGGATTCATACCCAGGCAGCCTGGCTCCCGAGTCTACCGTGCTCCCAGTTTAGAGACCAGGAGTGCAGGAAATTGGATAGTGCCTAAAAGGAGGCAAGAAGGAAAAGTGGCTACCGCTGTAATGAGAACTGGAGCCAGAAACAGCAGCCAAGAGGCAAGACTATTTCTTCTAGGGAGGGTTTTGGATAAAAGTACAATGGAAATGAACATCTTAAAGCCTTAGCTGCCAGGATAAGAGCCACAACATCAGGTAAGCCATGCAAAGAGCATCTGAGAGGTACCAATAAACTCCCACAAACCAGAACCATATCAGAGAAGCCTGAGAGGGATAAGGATTTTTTGCTTTTCCTTTGTCATGTAAAAAGACAATCATACAGCTGTGTTCTTTGTTTACTGAAAACAATAGAAGGTTGGGCAATGCCCCTCCTATCTTAGTTTTCCCTTTTCTTGTCAACCACCTATTGTCAAGGGCCCAGACAGAAATGGCAGAAGTTAAAAGAACCATGTTTTCTCCAAGCATGGCTAACACAGTGATTTGCAACTGTCAACAATGTGGGCAGAAGTTCATGTTTTCTTCCAAGCTTTCCCAGGTACTTAGAACCGTCACAGACCAAGCCATTGGCTATTCTTCATTCCACTGCAGGGCCATAGTATTTCCATGGCCTTAATGCTTAATGTTACACTAATAAACTTATACTGATTATAAACAGGCAAGCTGTAAATGTGAAAAGCTACATGTGAAAATAATGACTAACAGCACAGCTTTCTTCCTAGGAATATCTGGAATCTGACAGACATTGCATCAGAATTTGTTGGGTGAGTTTATTATTCAATAAAAGTAAGACAATCACCAAGAACCCACTGAAGCATAAGTGAAAGCACTTATAACTGTGTAGCTATCCCATACAAAGGCCACTCTCTCCTACATTAAATTTCTTGCTTGAGAATTCTTGTATTACACTGCTTCAGGTGGTTCTCTGTGTGCTGTGTTACAATGTACCAAAAGACAGTTTAAATGCTGATTAAAGTCTCTCCTACTATCTGCTATCATGCAAGATTAAATTCTTTTGTCAAGTTAGATCTAAGAACAAGAAGGAGCTGATTTGCCAATGGAAGGAGTGAGAATAAAATAGTTCCCTTTCATCACCATCTCCAACGAACTAAGTCTGCAATTAATAAATATGACACTCATCAGAGTGACACAAGCACTAATAAGAGTCAATCCATGCTGATACAACCACAGCAGTTACTACAGTCCTCAATGTAGGTGACTGCTTAGCTGCTTCTCATAAGTAAAACTAGTTTTGCTTGAAAACAACATGAGGTGGGATTAGCTACAACTGTTTGAAATGCTTGCCAGTTTGCCAAAAAACAGAAAAATTACTAGGAGGGTGTTGTGGGTTGAATAGTGTCCCCCCAAAATTCATGTTCACTCAGAGCCACAGAATGTGACCTTATTTGGAAAGAGGGAGTTTGCAGATCTGTAATTTTTGTAATTAGTTAAGATGAGGTCATACTGGACTATAGTGAGCCCTAAAGCCAATGCCTAGTGTCTTTATAAGAGGAGAGGACAAGGAAACACACACACGGAGAAGGCCATGTGACGATGAAGGAAAAGACTGGAGTGATGCAGCTATAAGCCAAAGAATGCCAAGGATTCCTGGGAGCTGCCAGAAGCTAGGAAGAGGCAAGGAAAGATTTTCCCCCAGAGACACTAGAGGGAGAATAGCCCTGCCAGAATCTTGATCTCAGACTTCTAGCCTCCGCAACTGTGAGAGAATAAATTTCTGTTCTTTCGAGCCGCCGAGTTTGTGGTAATTTGTTAAGGCAGCCCTAGGAAACTAACAGAAGGGAGAAATGTTTCTATTTCTATTTGTTAAAGAAAGGATCAATAATCAAAGCTAATATTGCCTCTCATGATCAAGTTTGTTACTGCAGGTTAAAACAACTTAAGTAGCTACCGTCAGTAGTGTTCGAATATCTACCTCATCTTTCTGCCGATACCCCTCACAAGAAGAGAGGCGAAAGTGTCCCCCCACCACCACCACCAGTGCTCAAGAGTCTAACTAAAAACACACACTGAGCATAGGGACTCCGCCCAGAAACAGGCAAGAACCCACATGAATGTTGTCTCCAAAGGTACTACCACCCAAATCTGCTCTACTCCCCAGACACCAAAATACTAACAGGTCTCTAATGCTTGGATGATTGCAAGAAACAGCAAAAAACACAAGTTTCTAAATGTCAGCCCCAGTAATCTCAAAAGGCCGAGGCGCAGCTGAAGTTCTCAGGAAAAGAGATGAAGAAGCAATGCTCTGAGTGTTAGTGCAGGGAAATATACCCTCATTTAAAATACCTGGGAAGGCATAAAAGTCTTAAACAACGAAGCAAATCCACGGTAGATGCCACAAAACCACTCACCAGCAAGACTGGCTTGCTGAACGACGAATATGCCTGCAGGAAGAGGGGTGACCAACCTGCCCAGGGCTGCCAGGACACTTTCACAGGGGTATCAACAATGACATTCTGTGTAGTCAAGAGAGACACTTTCCTTTCCCTCCTTGTCATACCCAACACAATGACAAGGAAAGCACAAGAAGGGACAGAGAGTATGACAAATTTTCATCAATCAGCAAAGAGTCAAAAGCACTACTTTTAAACATGTTACTTGATGCAATCCATAGTGTGGAACGCTCAGCAGCCATTAAAAAGAATGAAGCATGTTAAAAAAATATGAGGCACTTCTGCATGAGTATATTGTACTATCATTTTCACTTAGAAAATAACATAGAATCAAGTATTTTTTCTGATTTTCTTATACATTGTGTACTGATGGGGAGTTGGTTACCTGGAGGGAGTGTCTGCCCCTGGGGGACACAGGGGGTGCCATACAGCGCAGAGCCCAAAAAAAGCCACACGGGCTACTTTCCGCCAGCTGCGCCCTCACCCATATCTTTTCATTTTCATTCAGTTCAATGTATTGTTTTATTTACCTTGGGACTTCCCTTGTGACTCATGGATGATTTAGAATTGCGTTGTCTAGTTCCCAAGTGTTCGGAGATTTTCCTATTTTATTTCTGTTATTGACTTCTAGTTTGATTCCATTGTGGTTGGAGAACACACTCTGTATGATTTCAAATTTTAAAAATTTGTTGAGGTTTATTTGATGGTTCAGGACATGGTCTATCTTGGTATATGTTCCATAAGTACTTGAAAAGAATGGGTATCTGCTGTTGTAGGGCAGAGTGTTCTAGAAATGTCAATTAGATCCTGTTGGTTGATGGTATCGTTGAGTTCTTCTATATCCTTGCTGATTTTCTACCTAATTGTACTATCAATTGTTGAGAAAAGGATGTTAAAGTCTTCAACTACAATTGCAAATTGGTCTGTTTCTCCTTTCAGTTTTATTAGTTTTTGCTTCGTATGTTTTAGCTCCATTCACTGCGGCATACACATTTAGTATTACCATGTCCTCTTGGTGGATTAAGCTTTTATCGTTAAAGAACGTTCTTCCCAGACTCTGGTAATTTTCTTTGCTTTGAAGTCTACTTTATATGATATTAATACAGCCATTCCTGCTTTCCTTTGATTAATGTTTGCATAATATATCTTTTTCCATCATTTTGTTTTCAACCCACTTATATCATTATATTTGAATTGAGTTTTTTGTAGACAGCATATACTTAGATTATTTTTAATCCACTCTGCTAATCTTTCAATTGACATATTTACACCATGTACTTTTAATGAAATTATTGATATCTTAGGGCTTAAGTCTGTCATTTTATTTTTTGTTTTCTGTCTGTTCTCTATGATTTTTGTTTCTGTTTTCTTTTTCCTGCCTTCCTGTGGGTTACCTGAACTTGTTTTTAAGAAATTTGTTTTTATTTACCTATAGTGCTTTTGAGTGCATCTCTTTATACAGCATTTTTAGTGGTTGCTCTAGGTATTTATATATATAAAACTGTGATAAGATATAAAATTTATCAATCTACTGGTGTTATTTTACCAGTTCCAGTGAAGCATAGAAAACTTATCTCCCTTTAGCCTCCCCTGTTTATAATATAATTATACTAAATATTTCCTCTGAATACATTTAGAACCACATCAGACAATGTTATAATTTCTGCTTTAACCATCAAACAAAATTTAGAAAACACTAGAGAAGGGAAACCTATGGCACATACCCATATTTTCCTTACGGTGTTCTTTCTTCCCATTGTGATGTTCAAAGGTTCTTCTTTAATA